TTTTTTTTTTTTTTTTTTTTTTTTTTTTTTTTGTCTTTTCAAAGCTTAGAATTGTTCTTTCTTGTTGCCTTTAGTTTGCACTTGTATTATCCTTTTTTGATTCCTTCAATTGAAAACAAAAAATAAAACAAGTTGAGTTTGGTTCTCTCGATTTATCCTTCTTTCTTGTGTGTACGTAGATATTGTGTGTAGATATTGTGTTATGTGCTCGTTGTAACTGATGGACATTGAGCTCATGGACATTGAGCTCTGTATGCATGTAGTATGTTAGCTCCACTTGATTGATTGTGGGTTCTCCCTATAGAATATGTTTATTTGCACAAATCTATACTAAAGTTAGACACTAGAGAGTTTGAGTTAGGTTGGATAGAAATGATGACTTGTGACAAAACGCACGCTTCCAGTAGACTGTGACAAAACGCACGCTTCCAGTAGACTGTGACAAAACGCACGCTTCCAGTAGGCTGTGACAAAACGCACGCTTCCAGTAGGCTGTGACGCAACGCATCCAGTAGACTGTGACAAAACGCACGCTTCCAGTAGACTGTGACAAAACGCACGCTTCCAGTAGACTGTGACAAAACGCACGCTTCCAGTAGGCTGTGACGCAACGCACGCTTCCAGTAGGCTGTGACGCAACGCACGCTTCCAGTAAGCTGTGACGCAACGCACGCTTCCACCTAATTGATTGTGGGTTCTCCCTATAGAACAACGATGACCTAGGACAAGATGCTTCCAGTAGACTGAGCATATTAGGATCATGGGCAGCGATCAAAAGGGTCAGCTCTACCTAATTGATTGTGGGGTTTCCCTATAGAACATGTTTATTTGCACAACTCTACACTAGAGTTAGCTCCACCTAATTGATTGTGGGTTCTCTCTATAGAACACTTTCCTGTAAACTGAACATATTAAGATCATGTGCTGCGATTAAAGGATCTAAATCTTAGTGCTTCCAAATTAAGAAAGACTCGAGGAGTCTGATTAGGGTAACCTAAAACCAAAAGTCGGTGCAACAAAATATCTTTTTACATTTGAACCATTTATTGGCTTGTAGAAGTGAGAAATAGAAGTGTTTGGATTGGGTTGAATAATTATAGTAAGAAAACATACTAAATATATTTATGAGGTTGATTCCAAAGAAGTAGGAGAGATTTCGTGGATTTCAGATGTTTTTTGGGATTTTGTTATGTATTGTAATGAAATGGTCTGATTTTGATGTGGTTGGGAGGGGACCATACTCCCATGGGAGAAAGGCACTTTAATCAATCCCTTCTTTTCTAGGTCACGTGTCCCACAAAGATCGGGGAAGAGAATCTCGACCTTATTATTTACTATCTTTTAAATGTTTTAATTTGTGGCAGTGGCTATGTCTATGAGGTTGCAGATCGAACGATGGTTCAGTTTCTAATGATGGTCCAGCACACGCTCACACGGCTAAAAAACCAGCAGAATGAAAGGAGCATGTATCATATCATGGTGTACGCGTCCATACAAACACATATTGAGAAAGTATCCAATGCGTGACATTTAACATGCATGTGAACCCGTAATTTCAAATCATTGTACATGGTTATGATGCAACACATCATATTTCCATTCTTTTCACGACATAAAGTTCTTACCGAACATGCATATGTGTCCACATGGCAAATCTTTCATTATTATCATACATGACTCATCAATGTCTCACAGACGTAACATGAACATAATATCATAACATATATAGATTGACATTCTTAAAGTACATGCATCACATAATATTCATAACCATAACATAATATATAACATCAGAAAATCACATGTATATAGATGAATTGAGTCGGAAGGTATTCTAACGATAAGTCAACTTACTTTATTGGCCAAAGCCGAGTCCCATAACATCATATCCAGAACATCATTATGAAAGTTAATTCACCTAATCCTTTACATTGACCAAACATTAGCTATACTAACCTTAAATGCCCCAAATTATGTCAAAATGGCTCCAAAACAATCATAATTTGAACCGAATAAGCCGTTCAAGCTAAGGAGGAGCCGTTGAGCCGAGCAGATTCAATGTTGGACTTATGCACGTGGGTCACATTCTAGGTCGAGTCTCGGGTCTCGGGTCTCGGGTCAATGAGTTGAGAGATTTATGGGAGTGGGAAACAATAATTAAGAAAAAAAAACAAAATTTATAGCTTTAACCATTTTATTACAACCATTAAAAATGTATATTTCAATAATAGTAATAATTTGGTTTATTTGAACAGAATTATAAAAATAGTATATTGTGTAAAATAAGGAACAAGACATGATTAAAAAAATTCATGAAAAACATTTGTTTTTATAAAAATATAAAAGAAAATGAAATTTTTTTAGAAAATAGTTTATTTTATTCATTAATATTTAAAAATAATGTGATATTTATATAATTAAATTAAATAATAATAATAATAAAAAATAGTAACACATAGTGTACTTAAAAGAGTTCATTTTATTAAAGGAAGGCAGCTGAGCGAGTAGTTGGAAAGTAGCATCCGACAAAAATATTAAATTATATAATTTTAAATATAGAAAAAAAATAATTTAATATTTAAAATATATAATAAATATTTTAAAATATTCAGTAAATGATTGGACGGTCAAGATGGATGGAGAACAAAATGAGTGGTTGATTAGTGGAGATGGGGACACATTGTGGGGCCCACTACTCACTAGTCCTTTCACTTTCATATTTAAAGTTTTTTTTTTTTTTTACATAAAAATAAAAAAAAATAAAAAACTCTTTTCACATATATTATTATTGATAAGTCATAGGTAACTAACATCTTCGTACCTAACGATTGGTATAAGTTGCACAAATCTTTTTATTTTTCAATCCGATCTTATCCATTTGTTTGTCAAGTTGTTTACCCAATCAAATATTTCTAAACCACTTCTAACAGAGGCAGATATAAATCGATAATTAGAGGTGTTAAGCTTTTTATCATCCTGGCATTGAGCTATTTTTTTACAAGACCGCCCCTACAGTATCGTCATTGCAATAGAGTTTAACCACTAAGTTTGGGATGGATTGGTGAGTTTCCTCTACACCTAGGACACTAGAAGATCGAACCATGAACAAAGAAAGGCATGAGAGAAAAGCATATTGGCTAGTGATAGTGAGGGTCGCGGACCGACCATAAAACCCTGTTCAATAAGTGGAACGCATTAGCTGTCTGCTATTCGGTTGGGCAATAAGGGTCGGAGAAGGGCAATCACTTATTCTTAAAACCAGCATTCTTAAGACCAAAGAGGCAGGCGGGAAAAGGGGGAAAGCTCTCCGTTCTTGGTTCTCCTGTAGCTAGATTCTCCGAAACCACAAGAATCCTTAGTTAGAATGGGATTCCAACCCAGTACTTGAGAACATAAGTGGGTTTCATGGAATATTTTCAATTTGTGACGATTATATCCATCACTTTCTTCCTCGTATTTTTAGTTAAGCTGTATTTAAATTAACTACAGATTTGAAATTTAGATCTCAAATTGAAATATTTTTTTTTTTTATTTAAAGTTCGAAGATTTTATCTCGCAGACCGTACAACCATGTAGGCAGCTTAGTCTATTGAAGTGAAAATGTCGATTTCAAGAACATGCTATGAAGTCCTCAATACGACTCATTCCATACCGTATAATCATTATACATAACTCGAATTGAATTTATAAACTTAATTTTCGAAAAAAACAACATTTGAGATACTTTTTCTTCGATTGAATCTAACAAAAGTACGTAACACTAATAACCTAATCTTCTTTCCTCTTTATTTCTTTATCTTCAATGCTAAATGAGAGCCATCGAGTTCTATACAAAAAAAAAAAAGCCCAAAACACCAAATCTCGAGTCTAGCCCACCTACCACAATCAGCTCAAACAACACAACAGACTCTTAAACTTTCAATTTTATGTCTAATAAATTCGTAAATTTAAAACATTATTCGAATTTAAGGACTTATTGAACTCATTCTAAGCTAAGATTTTACGGATCGAAAGACTACAACAGTCCTTTATATACATCAAAGTCCATACCCTTTACCCTAAAATTCAAATTTCTAAACAGAACATACAAACATGGAGAGAGCAGAACAGAGCAGAGCTGAACAGAACAAAAATCTTGTTCTTACCAGAACTGGTCGGTTTGGATTAACTGTATAATCTTCTGGTCCAACATTGCCTGTGGAGTGGTTGCTGTTTGTTTGTCACCATTTTCAGCTGCCAAACACAAGAGAACCAGGAGAGAGAAAGAAAGAGAGAGAATTTTAAGTCAGAACACACACAGCCACATAACAAGTCAAGCTTTGCCTGTTCATATTCATTACTCCATTCCCAATCCCCAAAAAAAGAACTCAGATTTCAGCAATATAGAATGATGATATGTGTTAATGTGAACCCTTTGTTTACTTTAGGCTCTTATGGATGAATGATTACAAACCGAGTTGGAGGCACTTTTGAGCTCTTCGAGATGGAAGGAGAGTTAAGAATATAGACGTTGTTGAGCTCTTCGAGATGTCTATATTCTTCTTCCCTTCCATGGAAACATACAAACTTAAATGGGTCCTATCTGTTTAGGAAAAGCTAGCTATCATTGATTACACAATGAGTTTGATGCTCTTCTTACTCTATTGGGTCCTCTTAATCCCTTTTACATGCATATGGTAGTTGAGTTTTTCGAGATGTCTGGACTCTTTTGTGAGATCCCACATTGATTGGAGAGAAAAACGAGGGTTACAACAAGAATGCTGAAGCCTGAAGAGGAGGTATTGTAAGATCCTATATTGTTTGAGGAGGAGGAGAACCAAACATTCTTTATAAGTGTGTGGAAACCTCTCTCTTGCAAACATGTTTTGAAAACCTTGAGGGGAAGCTCGAAAGTGAAAGCCCAAAGAAGATAATATCTGCTAGTAGTATGCTTGGGTAGAGTCATACACTGAGTAGTGTACCAGGGAGGACATTGGGCCCCGAAGGGAGGTGGATTGTGAGATCCCATATTGGTTGGAGAGAGGAACGAGTGCCATCGGGGACGTTGGAGTCCAAAAAGGGGTGGATTGTGAGATCCCACATTGATTGAGGAGGAGAACGAAACATTCTGTATGAGGGTGTGGAAACCCAAAGAGAATCTTGAGGGGAAGCCCAAAGAGAATAGTATCTGTCAGCCGTGGGTTTGGGCTGTTACAAATGGTATCAAAGTCAGACACTAGGCATTGTGCCAAGGAGGACGTTGGGTCCCGAATGTGGGTGGATTATGAGATCCCACATGGATACGAGAGAGGAATAGGTGTCAACGATGACACTAGACCCCAAAAGGGAAGTGGATTATAAGATCCAACATCAATTGAGGAGGAGAACAAAACCTTAAGGAAAAGCCCGAAACGAAAAGCTTAAAGAGAACAATGTCTACTAGCAGTGAGCCGTTACATAAACGGGCTCATATTCAAAATCAACAGTAGTTGTAAGGCTAAATGCAATGAGATATGGTTGTTTAAAGGTTTTGAAGTGAAGTGGGGAAGCAAGAAAACTGAAGGAATAGACCCCTCAAAAGTGGAAGCAGACATAATCCTGGCCCAGCCACCATAAATAAACTAGAACAGCCAACTTATTCAAACACAAACCCCGCCACTTTATCATTCTCTTTCTCACTTTCCATCATATGCATTCAAATTTTCTTCTTTGCTTTGTTTTCTGTGATTGCTTGCTTTACCACCAAAAAAGAAAACAACACATACACATAACCCTTCTCACTTTTATGTGTTTTTTTAACTCAATTTCATATCATACTAACCTCAAAACTCAGCATGAAGTTGTTGTTGCCTTCTCCTTCTTGCTCTTCCACTTCTTCCTTCTCCACTTCCAACTTTGATCCTCATGTCTGCAACCCCAGAGCTGCAGCAGCTACCCCCAGCTGCCTTTCGGGAATTCTCCGCCGAATTCTCTGCTCCGGTAGCCTCCCGACGCACCCGTCCGATCAGACTACAGAAGAAACCAGCTCATTAAAGTCTGAGGACAATGTTAAGAACGTGGGTGTCATGAAAGACACAAATGGTGGGATTGAGGCCAAGCCCACCGCTGGAATTGTGGCCAGGCTGATGGGTTTGGATACCATGCCAGATATGAAGCAGAATTGTAATTCAATAGCAAGAACTCAATCCATGAACTCTGTGGAGCATTTCTACAAACACCTTGAAGGCAGACATAAAGGGGCTAGATCAACACAGTCGTTTCGAGAGATACCCACCTTTCTCGAGCTTGAAAATGAAGATTACTTCATCCTAAGCTTCGAAGGAGACAGCAAAAATGAAGAACTCAAAGCGAAAGCAAGAAGGCATGGAGAAGAAAAATGCAAAAACAGGGGAAGCAACAAAACAGAGCATTCTTACGTGAGAAAGACGAAGAAGAAGATATTCAATCCAGAAGAAGCCAATGAGTTCGTCCTAATCGATTTGAAACAAAAGAAGAAATCAAGAAAAAGAGTCTCAAGAAATAAACCAACCTCCAGAATTTCAACCAAGGATCGCCATGGCAGAAGATCAACGAGGAAGGTAGAATCAGAGCGCTCCGACGAATTAAGCCCAGTATCAGTTCTTGATAGCAGTGAATTCCTCCGAGATTCTGAAGAAGCAGCCCCATTATCAGGTTTTATTTCGCTTTCTTCAACAAACCCTAATTCGGATTCTTCAATTTGTGTCCAAAATTCCTTAAATCGCACTCTTTCAGGAGACGCCGCTTCGAAATCCCCCGTAAACAGTCGAAGGAAATTATCACCGGAGCTCGAAATCTCTCAGCGATCGTCTCGCAACGACGATGATTTGATAATCAAAGAAGGAAACCCCGCGAAGACGAAGGCGATTGAAGAAGAGATTTGTAAAATAACAGAGATGGAATTGGGGAAATCGAATTGGAATTACAGGAAATTTTGTGAAGAACATGAAGAACTTGGAGTTGAGAGTATAATTGAAGGTTTTGATTCGTTCATTCTTGAAGGATTGATAGAGGAATTTGCAGAACAAATGTATGATTCGATCTTCATCTGAAGATCAACTACTAACATGTAAATTTTCGAATTATAGTTTACTAAGTTCACCAAAAATTGAACCGGAAAAACAAAATCCTGTTCTACATTCTGATTTCAAATTGTATTTACAATTTGAATTTGAATTCGCCGTACGAACAAAGAATCTTTCCTTCGAATTTTTAGTTCAAAAGTACACAAATTTCTGAAAGATTAAATGCTAAAACTCGGATTATACAAATATAATTAATTTACATTACAAAAAAAAATGTAGTTCAATTCAAATTGATCGTAGCAGGTAGAACAACACCAGCTGCTTGTTCTTCAACTACACCATTTTGTTTACAAACAAGTTTGATTACAGAACCAGACCCCATTTGGTACTTCTGTTCTGCTTCCACAAAGCTTTTATGAAGAACAAGCTCCACCCATTCTTCCATGGCTCCTTTCTTCTCTGATAGCCACTTCGCTGCAAGGATTTGGACGATTATTTCATACTCGATCTCCAATACGACCTTGCTTCCGAACACCCTTTCGAACTGCAAGCGTATTTCCTTCACTAGCTTCTCCGCTGCTTCGTCGAAATCATATGGTTTGAACATGACCTTCTCGTCTACTTGTTCGAGGAATTCGTCTAACCATGTCTCCGAGCCTTCTGATATCGAGTCGCTATCGGAATCACTGTTGTTGGGTTCTTCTTCCTCTTCTTCCTCGACCTCTTCCACTGGGAGATTCAAGTCTAGGAAGGATTTCGACGAGGATGCTTTCTTCTGCAACTCTGAGTTCGTTTTCCGACTTGTCGATTCGTGTAATTTTCTCTTTTTCGAGAGGTTTGAGCCTCCACGGGCGGATGTAATTCTAACGTTCATGTCATTGTGTTCATTGACATCACTCGAAAAACCTCCTACTAGTAATTGCATTTGACAGTTCTTGGCTGTAAGTATTCTCTCCTCGGAAAATTCAGTCTGTACATCGAACGTTTTGTCGACGTTTTTGTTCCTCGATGTTGTCACGAAAATTGTGTTATTTATGGTAATTTGTCTCCCGTGTGAATCTGGAAACTTACCGGTCGTGATTGCCTGGGACAAGCAACTCTTGGCCCGAACGTCGGCCTTGTCGACATTCTCAAGGAGGACGACCGAAGAGGGTTTCTTCCTCAACTCCCCAGCAACATAATCAACAACAGTTTGTCCACGAAACCGCTCGTCGTAACCATCTAATCCTTCACAGTCAAAGAGTGAGTTCGGTCGGCGATCACGGTCCTGTGAACTGAAATCGACTGTGATGAGGTTTTCTCTGCTTCCGAACATCAACTCAGCAAGAGCTAACGAAATTTTACGCTTTCCTATCATGTCGGGACCAAGGAATGTTAGCCAAATATCTTGCCTTGAACTCGAGCAATGCCGCCTTCCGCTACCACTCCGACAACGAAGAATGGTTTCGATAATAGAACTTATGGCCTTTCCTTGCCACCTAACTTTTTCAATCAGCGCATTCCAGAGTGGCTTGAACTCTCTCATATCAACTGGTCGTCGTCCAGTGTTCAGATCAGAGCAACCGAGCGATTGGCCCGGGTTATCGTTGCTTGGCCTACACTCTGTTCGACTCTCTAATTCTGAAACTTTTCTCTTGTTCTCACCAGCTGATGCATATAACGACCCAAGACCCAGATCAGTGGTAACCGAGAAGACGGGTGAGGGTAATAGTTTATCAGAGTGAAGACACCGTTCTGAAACAACAGTTCTCGGTTGGAAACTATCGGTGTGAGTGTCGGAAATCTCCGATATCTGCCTGCCTTGCTTGTTATGCAAGTCTCTAGATAACCTCGGATTTGTACTTACAGATCTTCCTCCGGTTACAGATGACGGTTCTTCACCACTTCTATCGTGATCTAAAGCAACTCGAGTTGACTCAAGAACCATCCCATGCCTAGTATGTGAAATGTCGAGTTTCGGGAACCGTTGCGTTTGATGAAGACGGCAGATATCGTTCCACTTCTTTTGCAGTCCAATTAGCTTATCACTCAATGTACTTGTGTCGTCGTCACTGGTCTGCGCTGGATCAAGTTCATAAGAACGTAATTACTCGGGAGTGAATCAACGACACGAAAAGTTGAAGAAATTTACTACGAAAGAGTAACACACCTTACACACATCAAATTCCTTGGTTTTTGCATCCGGTTCAGTCGTTGGTATATGTAAGGAACTTTCAGCGTGTCGACCGGGGAGAGTAGTCGATCCTGGCTTCCATATAGCAGCAACTTCCTCCTCGTATTTTTCGGTGCATTGATGACAGCGAGTGAACTGATTCAAACTGCTTGACCGACTTGGGAAACTCGATTGTGAAGGGAAAAATCCACCGAATGGGACGAACGATCCCATTAAACTGCAAATTACAAGCATGAACTATGAGAACTATCATATACATGATTCGACTCGAATATCAACTTGTCAAATGTTTGTCCCTAACTTACATATAACTTAGTACACATACTCGAAGTTGTCATTAATGACTAAACTTATTGTTTTTCAAATCCTCAAGGACTAAAATGAACGTTTTAAAAATTAAAAGACAAAAATGTTGTATGAGATCCCACGTCGATTTGAGAGGGGAACGAAACATTCCTTATAAGGGTGTGGAAACCTCTCCCTAGTAGACACGTTTTAGAATCGTGAAAATGATGGCGATATGTAACAGGCTAAATGGGACACAATATCTACCAGCAGTGGGCTTGGGCTGTTACAAATGGTATTAGAGCCAGATTCCGGACGGTGTGTCAGTGAGGACGTTGGGACTTCAAGGAGAGTGGACTGTGAGATCCCACATCGGTTGGAGAGGGGAACGAAACATTCCTTATAAGGGTGTTGAAACCTCTCCCTAGTAGACACATTTTAAAACCATGAGGTTGACGACGGGGAACAAAACATTCCTTAAAAGGGTGTGGAAACCTCTCCCTAGTAGACACATTTTAAAACCATGAGGTTGACGACGGTGAACAAAACATTCCTTAAAAGAGTGTGGAAACCTCTCCCTAGTAGACACATTTTAAAACCATGAGGTTGATGGCGGGGAACAAAACATTCTTTATAAGGGTGTGGAAACCTCTCCCTAGTAGACACATTTGAAACCCGTGAGGTTGACGGCGAGGAACGAAACATTCCTTATAAGGGTGTGGAAACCTCTCTCTAATAGACACATTTTAAAATCGTGAGGTTGACAGCGGGGAACGAAACATTTCTTATAAGGGTGTGAAAACCTCTCCCTAGTAGACACATTGTAAAACCGTGAGGATGACGGCGGGGAACGAAACATTCCTTATAAGGGTGTGGAAACTCCTCCCTAATAGACACGTTTTAAAACCGTGAGGTTGACAGCAAGCAATATTTGATAGCGGCAGGCTTGAGTATATCCGAAAGTTAAAGGACTAAACGGATATTTTGAAAGGTTAGGGAGCAAAATAGAACAAAAGGGTGAAAAAGTTGAGGAACCCAATAGAAAACTACACGTAATATAAAGTACAACTTTATTTTATAAACTTTAAAACATCCCTTCTTCAATAAAATAATACCTGCATGTTCTTCAAAAGAACAAGAAACAAAAAACAAAACATGAAGAAACCAGATCTAACAACATTATAATAACCCCTTCTAAGTCTCAACATGTTCTTAATCATTGCAGTAATCAGCACAAAAACCTTATTTTCAGCTAAGAATGTTTCAGACCAAAAGATGAACAAACAACCAGGCTATCATCATCTTCTTCATTGATAGCAGATTATAAAAAGCTCAGATTTCAATGATATCCAAGCAGCTAAAGTAATATTAAAAAACAACCCATTTGAGCTAAGAGTAGCAGCTATAAAAAGCTCAAGAAACTCACCTGGATTTACCTCCAAACACATCCACCATGGACTTGGAAGTTATGGGAAGAACATGAACATCCCAATCCTTTTCAATGGCTGGAAACCGAACCCGAAACTTCTCGTGCAGCTCGTAAGTTCCCACAGCTCCAATCAACCAAAGTCTCCCATTGTGAAGTTTCAACAAAGATGTAAGTTGTGATACCACAAAACTCATGCCATTGCTATCATCATCATCTTCTTCTAAGCTACTCAATTCCCCATAATTCACTACCAAACCAGGCCCTGAACATTGCTGAACCATCTCAGAAACCTCCTCAAATTTCAATTTTACACTCTCTTTGCTTCCATTTCCACTCACAAATTCAGAAATCTCCTTCTCAATGCAAACTACCCTTAATCCAGAAAGTTCCCCTGGAAGAACATCTGATTTACAGCTATGAACACAATCAGTGAAGCTCCGGAGAGCTTCAACGGCGTAGACACCAATCAATAATGGATTCCTCTGTTTTTTCCTCACTAAAACCTCACCGATTCTTCGGGAATTGGCATCGTTATCGCTATTTCCATGGCTGCTAGTGAAAGGGAAGGGGAAATTCCGGTTACCCACATCGGAATCCGGGAGATTACAGAGGAAAATCGGAGGGAAACGACCGGAACGGGAGAATCGGGAAGGATGGTGAGACAGAGGTGGATGCATTATCGCTAATTTAATGTCGCAGCTTCGAAACCCAGCTTCACCAAAAACCCTACTCACAATCGGATCATCAAGAATCGACAAAATAAAATACTTAAGTTCTACCTTTAAAATCGAAGGGGTTTGTTGCTGATTATGAATCTGATAGAGATGGAAGCTATCTGGGTGTCGCCGTTGATTGGCTTGGGATCGTTTGATGGCGGCCATGAGAGAATTCGAAATCGGTGGCTCATCGGAGGGTTTAGATGAAGGAAGCCGATCGAGAGATACGCCGACGGACAAATCGAGTGCTCGGAACTGGAGGCGTGGAGGGTACGCGCAGCTGTGGGAGCGAGAGCAGGCGTCGCGAAGAGCAGAGGAAGGTAAAGACAACAAAGCGGAGACAGCATGAAGAGAGGTAGTTTGAGCGTGGCAGCGGCGGCGAGCAACGGAAACAGCATCATCTAAAGCCCTAGCCGCCTCCTCCGTCAAGCATTGCCTTGCAGCGCTCACCGGCGTCGGCATCGCCGGGCAGCATACGAAAAACCCCTTTAAAATAAACAGAGTAGAATTGAAAGTCCTGTACGGCGGCGGAAGAAAGAAACAGAGAGAGGAAAAACAGAGGTGGGAATCTGGTTATTGGGTGATTGAGGTCGGACGGCGGCGGCGGCGGCGGTTGCGGCGGTGAATGGGTGGACGGCGGAGAGAAGTGAGCATAGATTGTTGGGGTTGTAGGAAAGAAAAGATGGGATTTAGACACAAAATTTGAGAGATTTTTTGGTTTTTGTTTGTTCATAATAATAATTTTGAGATCTTTGGATTAGATGCCGTATCCACTTAACCAAATGGACCAACTATTCAACTGTGGTGCTTGGAAATTGAGGGGTCCCTTTTTTATTTATTTATTTATTTATTTATTTATTATTTATTTATTCATTATGAAGTGAGAGAAAATTGCCTCTATTTCTTTTTCTTTTTTTTTAATTTTTTATAAAATATTTATTCAAATTTGTTAATAATAAATGGGTAGATGAATTATTGAGTTATTTTTCGATTGAGAGAAAATAAAAAACCGTTCGTTACTAAAATTTATAGTTCAAATCTAGATTCCTTCGGATTGGAACGGACGCTCATTTTCTTAGCTTTTTTGTATTTGGTGATTCATTGTTTTACTGAATTTTGATTTTGGAGTTTAGTGGACTTTATACGCAACGTACGCTTGAACAAAAGGTTAAATGATTTGACTTCGATTATCAAAAATGGCTCGGTTTATATTATATTTCAACTAACTCGATCAGGATGAATGCTAAACAAGTTACAAAAAGTGTGGAGTTTTAAACGATCTACCAAACATATCGAGATTCGAACAATCGTAACATTATCGATTAAATTGTGTGGTGTACTATATCTAAAAAAGTCAACCCTTTAACTAGAGTACGATGTCAACGAAGATGGGTCGTAATCACCTACAAAGTAAAATATTAAGTCGAACTAAGAGAATTTTGTATTACTAAACGAAGTTGAAACAAAATGAAAAATTTATTACCAAACAAGGAAAAATATTTTTAGGTGAAAAATAAGCTACGAGTAATTTAATAAAACACCGGTAAATAGTTGGGTTTTTTTTAATGAGAACATTTAAACGGGTTCCAGATTAAATTTTTTATTTGTTTTAAACAATATGAATTACTATAAAATTATATATTATCAAAAATAATTATTATTTAATCAAAATTGATAAAATTTAACTTCAAACAATCAATTTTAAGGTTCGTTTATATTCAAATACAATTTTTTTTTTGTACAAACGACTTACACGCGCCAATTTGACAATAGAAACCGTCTTGAACACAGCGTAAAATCTTCATTTAAACGAAGAATAAGAAAAGGAGTAGAGATAGATTTTTTTTTCTTATGAGATAAATGGGGTCGGAGATAAGATACATTTCCCGTCCTCGACTCCAACTCCCGACATACCTTACTCTATCTATATATATATTTATATATATATATATTTTTGAAAGTTAGAAATTGATGTAAGCAAAAAGATAAAAAGAGAGTTAAAATTTTAAAAGTAAAATAATAAAAAATGCAAAGAGATACGCAATCTAGAAGTCACAATCAATCAAAGAAGCCCCCACGGAGAGAGAACAGATGCTGTGGCAGTGGCAGTGGCAGCCTCCAATTGGACAATCATATCACTCAGATATTTGATCAAACGGTTTATATGCTGCCACGTAGCAAGAATACTACTAACAAATGTACCTGATTATACCCTTACAAAGTCGACAGAGACAAAAGCTAACCAAGCAAGTGGCAGCAGGCATCCCCAGCTCTAAATAAATCAATAATTAATTAATTAATTAATTTTCTTTTTTATTTTAATTTTTTTTGGGTTTGGAAAATTAATAAGTAATGAGAGAGAAAAAGTGTTTGATTTGACATTGCTTTGGTGTATTTTGCAGCCTCCATTTATGAATTATATTTCTTTTTTTTAAATATTAAAAAAGCGCGTGTACGACACGATCCAACCAAGGCGCGTGGGAAGACAGTGCTTTTAACTAACTATTTGTAGAGAGAGAAAGAGAAAAAAACGGAAAGACCGTAAGACTTCACTTTCTAGAAAAAGGAAAACCCCAGTCTTTTTTTTTTTTTTTTTTTTAATTTATTAAATAGAAAAAGTTAGGAATTGTTTGTTTACATTAAAATAATAATAATAATAATAAATAATTTTTCAAACCCATCTAAAAATCCAATTATTGAAAAAATATATATATATATATATATTAAATATTACCTCAATTTTTTATCTTAGCTGTAACTGTCTCTATTTTTTTAACTTATTTATTTTACTCGAGCACTCTAATATATTCTACTTGTTCATTTTGTGTTGATTTGGGGTTCGATCGGGTTATCAGAAGAATCGACCTCTTAAGCTAAAGTTTTTTCTTGAACGTTTCAATCGTGATAACTATAATAACAGTTGCAACTATAAACATATTGGCAATTATGACGGAGGGGGAACAGTACTCATTTGAGACGTTACTCTAAACAAAAGACGGAGGCCCCTACTAGAAACTAATCATTAGATGAAGAAAAACAAGTGGACTCGTGAGACTAAACGACTTATTCTAAACCTAGAGTCCATACTTAGAAAGTGCTTGGAAAAGTGCGGGTAAGTTCATGGAGTTAAGAGCCCACCATGTGTTTTTTCCCTGTTTAACAAACAAAAGTATTCATTTCTTAGGCCACTAAATTACGACCAGAGTTTCTCCTTTTAGTCACGCAGTCGATTTACAAAACTTTAAAATATAAAAATTAAAAATTTAAATTGAAATATTTATTAAGATAAACCTTTCGAGAATTTAAAAGCAAATAAATCAATAAATATAAAATTTAATTTTTCAAATAAATCTTACGAAAAAAAAGTTATTCCTTACTTTCGTTGAAAATTAAAAAGCAAACGATTTAATTAATCAGCGATACGATAGTAAACGACACTTTATGTTATTTAATAATAATAAGAATAGACAAATGTTATCAACAAAATATCGATAAGCATAATAACGTGGCACGTCGTGTCAATTCCTATTTCAAAGATCGAAAATATTATTTACTTTTTTTTTTTTCTCTACAAATGGAATCTTTTAAGATATAAAAAAGATTTACCTTCTTTGTAATATATAAAAAATAAAAAAAAATAAAGAATATATTTCTTTTAAAAGGAATCCCTTCACACCTACACAAACTCCCATCAATGGCTAACCATTTTATTCTAAGGTGATAGGCATATTTACTTATATTTTTGTCCTTCCTATCGACCCCTAACTCTAACCTTAACCTTAAATCGGAAATTTTAGAGTCTGTTTTGAAAATTATGTCTATTTTCTCGTTATTTTTAAGATTCATCGTTCAAAAGAAAAGGTAGACATCAAAAAAAGTAAGCTCATAAGTACAAAGACTAAATAGATACCGACCTTAACGATTAACATATATACTCTTAATCAAAAAACTAAATGTCTACATCTGTTCGTTGAACTATAAAATTTTATCGTAAAGGAGAAATTCAATCGCAAAGTGGGAACAAATTGTAAGAACATTATTATTATTATTATTATTATTAAAAAATCCCACTTTTTATTTGAAAGCTTAGAACTTTATGGAGATAAGATTAGGGCTTTTGAATTGATGTGACACCATTTTCAATGTGACACAGAATTAAATTAAATTAAATTAAAACACACAAATTCATTTCATTGAAATTCCTTTGAAAAAAAGATGCTTAATGTACATATCCCTTTTTTTTTTCATATGTTCTAAATTATAAAACCCAAAAAAAAAGAAAAAAAAAAGGAAAATGGTTTGCTAAACGACAAACTACAAATAATGATTTATTTCCACCATTTTTCTCTAAAATATTTTATTCTATTAATTATATTATTAAATAATAATAATAATCTTGATATATTATGATGAAGACTTAGTTACATTGATTATTTATTTAATATTTGTCTAATATATTTAATCATGACAATAACTTCCAACCAATAATTTTAAAATGGTTCCTAATTAATATTTGATTTATTAAACTATATTTGAGCGGCCTTTGTATTTATTCAAAAGTCAAAACAAATTTTCACATATTTTATCTATTTATTATATTTGACTTGGTCTTTTCTAGGATTTTAATTTTTTTAATTTTAGTTTTAAAAAATTAAATTTATAAATACTACCTCTACATCTATTTTTTTTTTTTTTTTTGTTAATGACGTCTTTTTATTATTTAACTAAAAAAATGTAATTTTTGTTTTTTTTTTAATATTGGGCTAATAATTTTTTTAAAAAAAATAAGTAAATGAAACTATTTTTTTTAATAGATTGGGCTATTGGGCTTAGCCAGATTTAAAAGCCCAAATTAATAACTCTAATTGGGCTTAAAACGACAAAATGTGACAAGGATTTATAACCAATTTAAATTATCGACTAAAAGGTTCCAGGTTCGAATCTCCACCCACGTTAAACATTAATCTTGTATTTCAAAACAACCAAGACATCATCGGTTAAAACTGAAGAAATTTAGTGCAATGGATTCAAAAGGTGAAATTAGTCAAACCTCTCTTTACATCCTCTTCATCATTTTTCTTCTCACTCGCTCGGAAACCTGTGTTCGAGAGGTTGATGTGTCGGTCCCTTGTGTTTCCCTGCATCACATTGCTCCTATATGAGAACAGTATTATTTAACAATCACAAGACTCACCTACCAGGTTTTGCACACAGAGAGAAAATAGTCAAGTCGACCCCGAATAATGATTGCATCACGACTCTTGCCATAAAAATGGTTGGATGTGCAGCATTACCAACTATGAGAAATCCACCGATCGGGAAAGTCATGTGATCAAGTAGTTGTGAGACGTGTGTATAGAATTTGTGTATATAATAATGTATGTATGACAAGAAATGAGGAGAGCAAGAGGTTGATAGCTATTTGTCGTCAAGGCATCACATTCACATGGAGTGTTGCATCAAAGAAAGAGGTGAAATAGATTCTTTAAAACACTCTTCAATTTCATATAACTTCTTTAAGTTGTAAACTCTTGTCTCTTTTCTCCATTGGCCCTACAAATGTGAAGGAAAAAACAAACACCACAGAATAATTGGTATTCTTCTGCCTACCCGAAATCGAAACCAAGAGATTCGTCACATGTTCAAACATTAGCGGAGTAAAAAATAGAACACAATGGATTTCTTAATTATTTCCAAATTACTATCTTATGATATGAACCGAGACATTAATCATACGAGATACACTTCAA